AATTATTAATTAAATAACTAATAGTAAAAAAAAGTAATAAAATTTAATATTTTTATAATTAAAGTAACTTATATAAGTACTTTTAATATTTTAAAAAGTAATAAATTATAAAACTTTTTATAAAATAATTAAATATATAAAATTTAATTCTTTATACTTTTTAAATAACTTAAATAAATAATTATTAATAAAGTATTAAAATTAAATATAAACTAAATTTTTATTATATTTTATTTACTTTATAATTATACTTAATTAAAGCTACTTTCTATTTTTTTTACTAATATAAATTAATTAACTTTAGCTTATTACCTTAGGAACTTACTTTATATTATTTAAGTATTAGGTTAGGATATTATATATATTTATATATATAAATATATAGCTATTTTTTATATTTAGGCTATTGGGTATAGTAATTACTATTAGTATTATAATATTAGCTAAATATAAAAATAATAAAATACTAAAGAATAAAATTATAGTTAAATATTAATAATACTAATCTTAGGTATTACTATAATTTATTATTTTACTTTACTTAGGCTAGCGATTTATTCTATATCTATAGTCTATATATCTATACTATAAAAATAAATAGTCTATATATTTATTTCCATTCTTATATTAAGGGTAATAAAATATATATATTTACTAACTACCTCAAAAATATTTTACAAACTATTAATATAATCTTAATCTAAGCTATATCTAAAGATTTTTTTAAAGTAAAGATATTTTACATTATTTAATTTAAATAGTTTATTATAGTACGTAGCTGCTTACCTATGGACCTTGCTGACTATCTCTAAAAAAAATTTCCTAAATAAAAATTTTGCATTCTAGCTAATCTAGACTAGATATTCTGCATTTTGGATAATGCTTTTATTATTTTTCAATAACAGGGGTGTAAAAGCGGTGAGACACATCTTATGGTTGCGAGTTACGTCAAAGACTTACGATGCCCCTCTTCCTATATATATATAAACTAACATTAGAGCCCAATTCACTCATTGTTGATGATGTTCATAGTGTTAGCCAGCAATTCCTTCAAGATTCCTAGAAAGCAAGAAATCTTTCATATTCATTATCTTCCCAGTCTCCCTGCATTTTATTTTACCTCCCTTTTAGAACAAACAGCTATGACTGCCTCGGCGACAGGCGACACCAAACAGATGTTCTCTCAGGTGAGCATTCATATACAAGACAGCAAGCGCTTGGAAGAAGTTATATCGCTCTTACGACTTCACCCGGATTCTGCTGGCGTGAAGCTCCTATTACGTGATCTGAATGCTCTGCATGTCGAAGCCCGCCCATCCGCCATCGTATTTGTCGGTTCATCTCAAGATGGATACATTATTAGGTCTGATATCGTCTCATTCCGCCTTCAGCACGTTCGGGCCTTTACCTCAATCTACAACATAACCGCATCGAGTGCGTGGGTACCAGCACTGCCGGTGACTCAGGATCTGAAGACTCTTCTCTCGTCGGCCATTGGTGCCGTTATCGTCCAGGGTTCTGATCAGAAAGACCTTGAGTCTAGTCTTGTCAAGCTGTCCGTCGAGTTAGCCAACAAGCTCAACATCCCTCTAACAGTAGCTCAACCCTGTCCAACTGTCCGAGTATGCGTTATTGGCGGGGGCTATAGTCTCAAGCACCGGACAAGTATGTTGAACGGGGCGGCAGCTATTGGGGTGCAGCTAGTGATCATTGACAAGTCAGGCCACTGGATGGAATCTCAGACGGAGGCACGCGAGGCCTTCTTGGCTGTTGACATGGCCGTAGATGAGGGATTTTGCGATCGCATTGTCGCCGCCTGCCAACAATACGGTTCGCAATTCGATGGCATCACTACTTTTGACGACAAATATCGCGTGCCTACAGCACGAGCTGCTGGGATTTTGGGTCTCCCAACCGAGTCGCCAGACGCTTTTCAAACGTGTACTCGGAAAGACGAGTTCCGACAGCTCTTTCCGATTGAGAATTTTCCATCTTTCTGCGCAACGTCGGTCGAAGACTTCCAGGCCAAAGCAAACGAGCTGGCATCTCACTTGCCTGTGATAGTTAAACCCCGAAGCGGGGCGAGCTCGCAAGGTGTCAACAAAGCTGACACCATGGCCGAAGCTGAGAAACTAGTCGAGGCTCTGGTTCGCTCGGGCTCTGCAGCACTGGTGGAGAAATACATTGACGGCCCGGAGGTGGACGTAAACATCGCCCTTATCGATGGGCAAATTGCCTTCTGCAACATCGTCGACCAGTTGCCATGTTCAGCAGAATTGAACGGTCTTAAGAATGCCCCGGCATCGTTCAAGGAAACTACGGAGCTTTATCCATCCATACTACCAGAGTCTGAACGCTCCGCCTTGCGAGAGACATCGCTGGCAGCACTAACGAAACTCGGATTCAAGCATGGTATCTTCCATATGGAGGCCCGCGTCATTGGATCGTCTGTGTTATGGAGTCGTACTAGCCAAACAGATCTCCCGTATCTCGAAAAAAGAGCAATTGAGAAGATTGAGCAGCCGCGAGCAATGCTAATAGAGATCAATCCTCGAACCCCAGGCTATGCAGGAGCGCTGCCTGCCTTGTGCCGTTACGGAATTGACTTCTCTTTGGTGCAGATTCTTCTCTCTGTGGAAGACACCTCCCGAGCTCGCATCCTATCTCTCCCATTCGGCGACCAGGAGAATACATGGGTGGTTACCGGCTTTGTTGCCACACCCAGAGGTGGAATCTTTCAGGGTGAGAACATGTTTGAGGAGTTGAGAGACAGGCTTCCTCGTCTGATGGAGAATGTCATTGATATAATGATGTTTTTTAAAGACGGTGACATAATCAAGGATCCCAGTGCGCAGCCTTCATGGATCGCCTTTTTTATTGTGAAGACTGAAAATGGGCACGAAGAGGCAGTGAGAATATGTGAGGATATTAACAAGAATCTAAGATTCGAGATCAGCTAGGCTCTACGTATTGCGGAATAGAACAATAGAGTCTCCTCGTATGAGGCCAATATTATGTGTAAAATCGCGTCTGTAGATACCTTAGCCACGAGGGTATTACGTCTGGTGCCTTGGTTACATGACCCCTCCAGTGCTTTATTTAGCAGGGTACTTGGGATTCTATTTCCTACTTGCCTCTTATTATGTGTCGCAATCAAATTGGAATATTGTAAGGCTAGGCAAATACATTAGGGCTTAGCTAGCGCCTTTGCTTAGAGGCAGCCAACCCACTGATACCCGTTAGTATAACTCTCAGTGGGGCTTTCAGTAACCAACTACCTGTTGGTTCTACTTTTAGTGACCAACTTGAAGGATAACCTTCAAGTTGGTTAGAAAATCCCTGAAACGCCTGAAAAATCGAGATACCTCGATTTATGAAGGAAAGCCACCCAATTTAATGTCACTTTCTTTATTGATAGTTCTTTTTATGTTAAAATAATTGTATTTCTTTAATTTCTATAGATTCCTTATTTTTTTGAAGTCTTCTAGCATCTTCATGATGTTTTTATATGGTGTTTTGGACCTAGGTAAAGTCGGTGATGACGGCAGGATGTAGAAATCCTCTTTGCCGCTGATATTATTAGGAAGATTGTCAAACGGATCGGTCACGGTCTTCTGTGTTGTTTCTTTTGTTTCTTCTTGTGTGGCCTTGTTATTTTCATCATTATTATCGCCAAAAGGCCCCATTGTGTTATCTACTAAACTGATTGTCTCGGCGCCCCAAGAACACTTAGACATCTGCTCGAGAGGCCATGCCTGCGTTAGGGCGCGTTGTATAACCTCCTTTACGTGCTGTGACCGTGATCCTGTTATATTAAAGTAGAAAGGTTCTTCTTTATAGTTAAGAAGGGCGGCAAATTCCTTATTCTGTACGTCAAGGAGAAGGTATTCCTCGTGTTTCCCCGTAAGTTAAAGCCATGACTTTAAAGCTATTCTTTTTTGCCCAGTGGCTAGTCTCTTGACTTAGTTGTCTTGCTACATCTGCTTTAGCTGTTTAACCTCGAGCCTGACGATCCGGCGGCCTTCTCGTAGTTGTGACTTCATTATCTTAATCTCGGCGGCCTTCCTTACTATATTATCCTATTGTCGGATTTGACTAAGGCCTATGGTAGTATAGAAGTCACCGGTCGATTAGATAAGGCCGCTGCGCTTTCTACGACTTAATAGCGTCTTAATATATTAAGTTTGGTCTATTATGAAATTACTAATGTGTTTTTCTAATATATAGGATTCCGTAACTATAAGGCTAGTATTACAACCTGATCTAAAGTATGTACCCCTTGGATAAACTATAGGAAGAATAGCTAATGTAATGAACTAGGTCCTATAGGTACTATAGGTTAGCTATTTCCAAAGGATAAACCTTAGAATAGTTCTATAGTTTATAAAGGTTATATTTATTATCAAAAGGGTTAGTAAAGCTGCAATAGCTAGGTTAGAGGAAGGCTATACCTTAGCCTTTGGTTTAAAATCTAAAATTAATCTATAGCCTAACTTAATTAGCTATAGTTAACTAAGTTAAACTTTAAAGATTTAGGTTATAAAGTATAGCTAATTAAGGTTTAAGACTAAACTTAAAATATATATATAAAACAGCCTAAATAATAAAGTTTAAATATAATGTAATTGATTTTAAGCCCTGTGACTTATAGTTTAATAACTTAACTAGACTAAATAAGCTTGATTTTTTTATTAGGTTATAAAAGGTAGTAATAATCCTTGAAAATAAATTATATATATAATACTTTTAAAAAATTACTTAATAAGATAATATACTATAAAAGTAAAAAACTTTTTTAATAACTAAAGATAAGTTAATAGCTAATATATATTTACTTACTATAAATAGTTATAATAGCTAAAGGTAATAAAAAACTAACTATAATTATAATTAAAATAAGAGCTATTATTATAAAATTTTATAATAAAGATGTTATTAATATTATAAAGAAGGTTTACTAAAGCCTAAAGAATAAAAAAGGTAAAAAAGAGTAACCTAAATTAATTATAAAAGAGAAAATATAAATTAACTAAGTTATTACTAACTAAAAGAATTAGTAAAGTATTAGTTAATAGTTATTAAATAAAAGTTTAATAGTAATTTATTATTTTAATTTTAGTTAAGTAGTTTATTTTTTATACTTAGGAAAGGTTTTATAATTTATATTAATAAAGTAGTTAAGTTAGTAAATAAGTAATTTTATTATTAATTATAAAGTAAAGTATTTAAATATTTAATTTAATTACTATAATAATAATTAACTATTTAAGTATTTTAATAAGTAATATAAAGTAAACTTATATATTTAGTTAACTTAGACTAAATTAATAAATAAAATATTAATCTTTTTATAAATTAGTAAATAATTTATTAATTCTTTATTAAATTAAGAAGTTATATTTTAATCTTTCTTTAATTAATTAAAGAATTAAAGTTAATTTAGTTTAGATTAACCTATTAGCTTATTATTATAACCTTAAGAGTTAAGTTATAATATAATTTTTTTTTTTATTAATTTTATTTTTAAAACTTTATTATATTTAATATAAGTAATTACTTTTTTTATTTTTATTAATATTTTTATTTTCTCCTTTATATTTATATATTTTTATTAATTATTATAATAGGTATTTATATAAATTTTTATCCTAAGGTAAAATATTATAATATTTTTTTAAAAATTATTTTATTTTATTTTATTAAAATAAAAATCTATATATATTATTTTAATAAAAAAAAGTAAAGTTTCCTAAAGTATTAAATATTTAAAAAAGATTTTACTTACTATATTAAATATATAGAAATTAAATTTATAATATTAAAATATTAAGTTAAAATATTATATATTAATTACTTTTATTTTAAAAATATTAAGTATTTTTAAATAATATAAATTATTATATTTAAATTTAATTTAATTATTAATTTTTTAATTATTAAATTTAATATATTTATAATTAATAAAAATAAAAATATTATTATAAAAGACTTATTTAATATTTTATTATTAAAAGAATAAAAGCTTTTAATACTTATTTAAAATATATATTAATTTAATAAAGTTTTAGTTAATAAATTTAATAAAAAAAAACTTAAGATAATTAATATTAAAATTTTATTAAGTATTAATTACCCTTTATATTTAAACAAAATATTAAATAACTTTTATTTATACTTAATTTAATTTAAAGTTTATTTTAAAAATTATAAAAATATTTTTAATATAAATAAAAAAAAGTTTTATTTTACTTTATTATACTTTAAAGAAACTACTTTAAAAAAATTTAAATTTATTTTAAACAATTATTTAAAAAACCTAGTTAAAAAAATATAAAAATAAACTTAAGAAATTTTTAATAATTATAATAAATATATTTTAAAATTTATAAAAGTATTCAGAAATATTAATAAATTTAATATAGTAAAAAATACCTTAGTTAATATATATTAAAAAAGGAAATACTTAAACTATATTATAGAATTCTAAAATATTATTATATACTTTAATTAAAATAAATTAACTTTTATTAAATATTTTTATAATAAACTTAAATAAAAAATTAAAGAAAAAGTTTATAATATTAATTAATTTATATATACTTTAGTTTTATTTATAAATATATATATATAAGTAAATAATTTATTATATAAACTTAAAACTAATATTATTTAATAAAATTAATAAAAGATATATTAAGTTAATTAAGGTAAAAATAAAATAAAATAATTATTAAAAATAATAATAGTAAATTAAAGTTTTTTTTAAATATTTTATAATATAAACTATTTTTAAGTATTATTATAATAACCTAGCTCTTAAGGTTATAATAATAAATTAATAAGTTAATTAAAATTAAATTAACTATAGATTAATAAATTAATTATAATTATTAATATTTTATAATACAAAAGTTATAAAGTTAGCTTTTTAAATACTTTATTATAAAAAAATTAAAAAAGTTAATTCCTTTAATATAATTTAGAATATATAATTAAATATATAAATTTACTTTATATTACTTATTAAAATACTTAAATAGCTAGTTATTATTATAGTATTTATAATATAATTAAATTAAAACCTAAATATTTACTTTTATTTATTTTACTAATTAATAATAAAATTATTTATTATTAACTTAATTACTTTACTAATATAAACTTTAGAATTATTTAAAACTTTATTTTTTAAAAAGTATTATTTATATTAATTTATAAATATTAGTTTATTATATAATAATAACTTTTATTTAAATAATTACCTTAGACTTATAAATAATAAAATATTAAAAACTTAATAATTTATAAATTTTAAAGTTTTAAATAATAATATTAATTATAAAAGTAAAGTTTATAATAATTATAATAGTAATATTAAAACATTAAATAATTTTAAAAATATTATTAAAAATATTATTATAATTCTATAATTACTTACTAACTTAAATAAAGCTAATAAATACTTTATAATATTTAAAGAATTTATAAAATATATATATTAAATAATTACTATTTAAATAACTATTATAGTAATACTCTAAGGTTAATAATTAATAGTAAACTTTATAGTAAACTTAGTTTTTATAATATATTAATAAAAACCTAAAGAAATTATTAAATTATTACTATTAAATAAATTTAAAAAAAAATTAAGTAAATTTAGAAATTTTTTATAAATATAAAAAACTACTTTAGTTATTTTTTAATTCTTATAATTAATAATATTATAAAAGTTTAAATAATAAAAACTTATTTAACTAAAACTATTAAAAATTAATTTAAATTATACTTTAGGGATTTTAAGTAAACTAAAGAACTTGAGAAATAATATATTAATAAATTATTTATTAATTATATTACTTTTAAAAAATAATTTAAAAAATTATATAAAAAAATTAATAAATTTTAAAAAACTAAAAATATACTTTTTTAAATTGAAGAAATAAAACCTTATATAAAATATACTATTACCTTTATATATTTAATTACTAAAACTAATTTAAATAATA